CTGCTTTCCCTAATGACCATGAGCTAGAAAAAGAAGAGTCCACGGTGGTAAGTAAAGATGCAGATGTGCCTACAGCATCAGGCCTGTTTTTGGTGTTTTTTTATATCGGTTAGCCCTAGTCCCTGTTAGACAAAGCTCCTGCCCCTCCCAGGATCCCAAGTGCATAGACCCATGTACCAAACTGTCTGCTGTGAAGGAGCCTGGGCCGTGCTCTCCAACAGGGACTTCAGTGGAGCAAAAGCTTTGCACAACCCCTTTGCACGGGAGGGAAGTTCACCCGCTGGCAGTTATGCTTGCGCCAACAACTGTCTTTGAACGTGCACAGTGGGAACACAAGGTCATACCCCCAGTGCCAGCATGGCTGGAATTGCACATCCTCCTCACAGTGATAGAAGTGATAATTTAGGACATGACCTTACTCTAGAAAAGTACAAAAGTTGATTATTGGGAGATGGAGGAGGTTCCTGGTCCTGGGGGAATGACCTAAAACTATACCCTGCTGTGGCTGGGTGGTGTGGTGGGGATGCTTGTAGGAAGGTGGCTTCCAGGAAATGCCACACCAGTGCCCCCCAGTGAAGGGCAAGTATGGGGTGCCAGAAAGCCTTGGCTCAGGTTGCCTTTTGGGTGACTGTGGAGGGGAAAGGCTAGGGGAGAAAACCCTGACAGAAAATCACAGGAGCCCAGTGAGAGGGCAGCGTAGTGTCCAGTGGCCATGTAGAGTAGGGGCTGAGGGGGCCTGAAGGACTGCACATGGGCTGAATGGAGTAGCCAGTGTGGAGACCCTAGTGAAAGAGCATAAATGGCAGCCCTAGTGAAGGGGAATGAGAGGAGGCCCCAGTGAGAGGGCAGGAGGTCTAGGCACATCTGAGGACACCTGAGGCAGAGTTTGTACTTTGGATGTCATCTGCGAGGCATGGGGCACGGTATAAGGGGAGGTTTGGATCTGCGCATAACACCCTTGGCATCGGGGCATAAAATGGGCAGCCTCCCACCTTATTACATAGTCTTTTATACATCAAGGCATGGCAGAAAAGACAGGTGGGCAGGCCGACTTGGTGACCAGCCTCGTGACTCTTCCCTGTCACAAAACCTTTTACACATACAGAACAAAAGCAGGATAGCACTGGGGGATGCCTTTGCCCAATAAAAAGCATAGTGGCACTGCTCACTGTTGTCTGGACTGTGGCCTTTTTCATGCTGCATATATGGCTGGGCATGTCATATGCTCCCTGATGCTTGAACACTTCCAGGAGAGGCCAGCAGTGAGGAGGCTTGGAGCGGGGGCTTCTTCAGAGACTCCTGTGTCTTGGGCAACGATGACGAAGTCTGCGTGACTCTCTGCCTTACGTGTCCTGGTAGGAGCTGCCAATTTGACTTGCAAATGGAGCAGCTGA